AAATGTGTGTAATAATTCAGAAAAATTTACGGGCGTATGCCCAACACCTCTTGTCGACCAAACGTCCGTTCGATCAAACGCCCGTCGATCAATTTTTCCGTCAACGAAATTTCTTCCAAATTTCCAGGATACGGTCTTCAATGGACACTTCTAGAGCGGAGATTTTTTTCCCCGGGTTCCTGTTCGCCCGTTAGCTTATGCTTGGGCGCGTAAATGACGTCACAGTTTCGGTGTTGGCGAAGCGACACGCAGCTACGTCCAGTGCAGTAGTTAGACTTAGTGGCGCTCCTCACTCACGGAAACCACAAGACATGAAGAATACACAACGTACATAAAGAATACATACCGTTCATAAAGAATACACAACGTACATAAAGAATACATACCGTTTATAAAGAATACACAACTTACATAAAGAATACACACCGTGCATAAAGAATACACACCGTGCATAAAGAATACACACCGTGCATAAAGAATACACACCGTGCATACAGAATTCGCACCTTTAATAAAAAAATATACACCATACATAAAGAATACACACCGTGCATACAGAATTCGCACGTTTAATAAAAAAAATATACACCATACATAAAGAATACACACAATACATAAGGCACATTTTTAGTACAACCATTCACGAGTTCCCCAGTCTATCAGAAGACACCGGCATGCTCCATCGGCTTGTTACAAAAAGTCTGAATGACAACTCTTGAAGTCAACAGTGTCACTAAGGGAGTGAACTTTTACTGTATAGGACGGCTGATTTTGGCGCTCAAAAACGACAGTTTGACACAGCAGTTTTGTGTTGAAATTGTTCTAGATTTTTTTTTTTTTTTAAAAAGGGTGTCTTCGTAAGAATATTTACCTCTGTGCTCAAAATTAATAGTTATCTTGTGATAGAATATAAAGAGTCCCTATACTTGGATCAATGAGAGAATCTTATGTTATCCAGCTAATGTGCTGCCCCCTGACACACACACACAAAGCCCGTCCAGGGGTGCCCAAACCTTCCTAAGCTACTTCCCCCCCCCCCAATGGCATTTTTCTAACCACGTGACTGTTTGATTGAAATGAAAACTCCGGATTAGAGTCCCCCCAATGGCATTTTTCTAACCCCGTGACTGTTTGATTGAAAAGAAAACTCCGGATTAGAGTCCCCCCCCCCCCCACAGTTGGCGATCAGAAACTAATTTCCCGGTTCTCGGCGCAAGGACAATTAGACAGAGTAGCGCTCGCCATTAAATCTCGCCATGTTTATCTGCATATGTCATCATAATAATCCACACTCACGTTAGCTTCATCACAACTTTATAATGCTACTAAAAATGATTCATTACGAAACTGTATTAGGATTTACCTAAAACCTATAATGATTATAGGTATTGCCTATCTAAATACATAATATTTAATTGGCGGCTGATTAATCGGTATCGGCCTTTTAATCGGTATCGGCCTTTTAATCGGTATCGCCCTTTTAATCGGTATCGGCCTTTTAATCGGTATCGGCCAATTAAGGCAGAGTGATTTACAGTAATCAGCCCTCTTTTTAATCCGTGAATCCTACTCTGAATTTATGACCCATATTCCCGCATCGTTTCATTTACCAGAAGATTAGACCCGGTGTTACCGTGGTAATACTATAATAAATACAGCACTACGTACGATCTACATGCTATTGCGAAGTCTCAGCATCAGAATCTATCAAAAAAAATTAAAAAAAAAAAAAAAAAAAGTAAATCACTGATTCAGATGTTGGTGTATTTTATTCCTGAAATACAATAATAATGAACATAAAAGTTACCCCATGTCCTAGAAATGCATCTTTATGAAATAGTAAAATCAGTAAATCATTAGTTGGAAAGATGTAGCAACTATGTTTGGAGGTTGATGTTTCCAACATCGATTTGTTTTGAGACATTTCATCTGTCGTCTGTGGGCTGTCGTAATAAAATATGTGCACACCCAACCCTCTTTTCACGCACCCCCACTACAAAGAAAACACTTTATTTTTTTTAATTAAAAAAAAAATCATATGTTATTAATTAGGTTTAAAAAAAAAACAACTTTAAATGACCAGTTTAAATATCTATTACGTGCAGGGATTGCGATACATTGGTTAACTTCATTTAAAAACACAGAATTCTTATATCTAAAGAGAAATTTCGTAACTAAATTTTTTTTTTTTTTTTTTTTCCTTTTTCGCATCTTTGTATTTTTTAAATAAA